TAAACAGTTGTGATAATCTGTCTTGAACCTTCCTTCTACACTGCCACCATTGGCGCTGCTGCTTTTTCTAGGGGGTCTCAGGTAGGAGTCATCTGCATAACAAATTGACATGCTCACTGAAAAGTATGGGGCTCGGGACCCCAAGATCAAACTCTCAGCACAAAGGAGATTTATTTGCCCCAGAGGGACAGAGGGCAGGAAAAAGAAACAAACAAGAGATAGAGGGAATGGAAGAAGAGGAGGGTAACAAGTGAAAGGGGCAGAGGTATTTGTTGGGGGGCGGGCAAGGGTCTGCCTCTGGATAGAGAGGAAATATACATGCCACATGGCAGTTTACAAAGATATAAGGGCAAACCCTGTGTTATGAGGAGGTGTTTAATTTTAATTGGGCATGTTAATTAGGGAATCAAAGGGGGCTTCTGATTGCTGAACTTAAACACTTTGATTGCTGGTAGTCACTCTCTAGAGGAGGAAGTAGCCAAATAAGGGAATAGACTTTGGTGGTTTACTTTTGGAATGTAACCTACATTTTAGCAAGGCAGAGGGAATGGGACGGAGGGAATGGGGGGGGGGGTAGGATGGGGGGGGTGGGCGGGGAGGAAAGGGCCAGGCCTGCCAGACCCATCCTTGCCTCACCAAGCTGTCCAGAATACCTTCATTTACTACTAACTGTCTTAAGTTGTTTATAATTATTATTAATAGAAGTTGAGTATAAAGCTTACTCATGTCAAACTGGTAATGATGCTGCATCTTGCAGTTTCCAGACACTTTTGGATTTTTGCTACATGACCTCTTGGAGCCTTTTGCTATACAAATATAAGGGATAAGCAGCAACATTTGCAAATGTCCTTAGCCTGTCTTAGTGGACTGGGAATCTCAGACTTGGGTTGTGTTTGAGAATTTCTGGGAATTGCATTATCAGAGTTTATTTGACACATTTATACATATTGTTTTCAACCCAGTTGTTTACTACATTCAAGTGTGACACTCGGTCCTTCATAAGACTACTCCATTTTACACACAAGATAGTTTTCCAGGGCTACTAGGCCACATTCACTAGGACTGGCTGTAAATGCTCAGGGGTTTCCATGACCCACTCAGGTTGGATATTTTGCTAAAACAACACACAGAACCCAAAAAAGAGCTACACTAACAATTAACGATTTTATTATAAAATATATGAATCGGGAACAACTGAATGTATAGACTGCTCTGCATGGAGAATCGGGGTACATCATGATCCCGAGACATGATCTGTTCATAGTGAGGAGGCTCCCCCAAAATGTCTATGCCCGGGGTTTGTACAGCAATTCCATAATATAGGTAAAATCAATTGAACCTAATCTTTAGCCCCCTTTCCTCCCTGGAGGTCAGGTTGACTTGAAGATCCTCCTCTGTAATCATGTTATTCTTTCTGATGATCAGCTCTCTTCCTGAAGCCACTGAGTAACTCACTATGAGTTCTTCATTACTATAAACTCAGGTGTGATTTAAGGGGCTCAGGAATAGCAAAGGCAATTGTATCATTTGGGGAAAGTTCCAATAATTTTAGAAGCTCCCTGCCAGGAACGAAGACCTCACACATTTTCTGGCAATACAGGGTATTATATGACCATTTCCAAAACCAAAATGGCACCTGGCCGGAAGGGAAATGCATGATTTGTGTGGTTTCCCAGCAGAAGAAAATGAGTAGCCCTCAGCGTTCATTTTGTTGTTCTCAGTCAGCCAGATTTCAACCCTGACTATAGCTATCTCAGGGAGGAGATTTGGGGGGTATTTTCCTGGGTGCTCCTGGGACCAAAAAGCTTCAGCAGCAGGCCAGAACCTACCAGCTCCAGACTTTTGGCTTCCTGCAACTCTCCAGAGTACCAGCTTCTCTAATGCAGTCACCAACTCTCAAGTTTTACCTTAGAATAGAATGTTTATTTTTTAATATATACAAAATAACAGGCTCAGTTTTCTCCATTACTTTTAGTTGAAGAAGAAAAAAATGTGCTGTGTATATATCACTTCTAGACAGAAGCCAGAATTCCAAGAGCATAGATGTGGGCTTGAAGCAATTTCCAATAAGATTAGAAATCACATACACCAAAGCTCATCGAGGCTTCCTCATTTGAAATTGTATGGGGCTGAATCAGAGGCCTTGCTGAAAATGACTGTCCTTCAAACCACCAGGCCTGTGCCTCTGAATAAAATGACTGTCCTTCAAACCACCAGGCCTGTGCCTCTGACTCAGAGGAACAGGCTTAGATAGAAAGTCTTGATCTCGTTCTCCATTTTCATCAATAAAGAGGTTCTTCTCAAGCCCCAGACTCTTATCGACCACACAGAATAGTAGACACACCTGGTGTGGTGGCTGGCAGTGTGGGCATCCAGACTCAGTGGGTAAGTAATAAATTAAGAGCACAAAGGCATGGTCTCCTGCTGGTAACCCTGTCTCTGACTTACAACCTCAAGCCAGCCTTTCCAGTCTTAGGAGTCAGTACCTTCAACACTCCATCCTAGGGGAAGGTTTAGCTGCTTTGTCTGTATACAATTTATATACTAAAAAATTCTAGCCCAAGCAGACTCATATATCTTAATTGAGCAATATTGTAGATCACTGTATTTTTGCCCAGAAAATATGGGGAGATTCCCCAGAGATGTCTTAGATTGGCTTAACAGTGGATGGGCCACCTTTGGGAAAGTGATGTTTCTCATCCATTGTTAGGATGAGGGATTTTAGCTTGAATAAAAGGTGCCTGGTAATACCAAAGGTTTCCTGGCATCCCCTGAAGCTTGACTCTACCAGTAATTTTACCAACATGTATGTTTCAATTGCCTTCCCCTTTCCTTCACTACCTTTAGTGTATGCTCTTTGTCTGAGCTATCAACCTCAAGGCATTTTGCAAGGCTAATAAGTAATATCTCTTCTTTTTCCTTTCAGATACCATAAAGATGTGATCAAAATATTGTATGGTTCAGAGATCACATTTCTTATTCTGTAATGGACCCCTACATTAGATCCATTTATACATCTAGCCACAGCTGGAATCCTTGAGGCAATAACCTCTTACTGCAATAGGCAGAAAATCTGTTCTCTGAGGTCAAGATGAACGTGCCAGGTTCCGTCTTTAAAACTCATTTTGTTAGGGAGATGTCTCAGAGAGAATGCCATTTGTTACATGAGTCTGCTGACCTGAGTTTGTTCCCCAGGACCCATGTAAAGGTGGAAAGAGAGAACCAGTTCCCAAAGTTGTCCCTTGACCTCTAAAACTACATTGTGGTACATGCACACCCCCCTCACACAATAACATATAAACATCTAAAAACTAAGCTCACTAGTTAGATACCTCATTTCTCTATCTGTGAAGCAGTCTGATAAGGGGCTGAGAGAATCAGGGACTATTATGCTAAGAAATTCCTTTCAAATGGCAAGGTGGGCATCAGAAAGTAGGAATTTCTGCTTGTAGGCAGTTTTTAATTTGGCCTACTTTGTCTAAATAAAAGAATGCAAACAGCCTGCCTTCAAATACCAAACATTTAGTTAAAAGATTAGTTTTGGGCATGGTCACTGGTATGTTTTAAGAGAATCAAAAAAAACATGAAAGTCATAAAACAAAGGAATAAAGAAAAGAAGTAGGCCGTGCAGTGTCTTACTCTCATAGGGCATATGGAATTTGGTGAGGGATGGAAATGAAATCCAAGCATAGATTTATAGGAACCTGATGAAAGTCATCTTTTTCCATTTTGAGACTGACTATCCTTACTACTCCTTGGGTCCACTCTCATGACTTTAATTTTATCAAATTGTTGTCATTACTGAAATAGCCCAAGTAGGCATTACTCTAAGAGATGCTGTCAGGAAGGAAGAAGGAAGATTGTGTTTTAAAGACACCGTAAAGTTCAAAGAGACGAGACCTCGCACAACATGAGGAGAGAGAAGCATGTGTTAAGAACAGGGAGTGATGTGAGGGGAAATCAGAGGCGACTGTGGTGCAATGCTGTGTGTGATTAAGCTACAGACTGAGTGAGGCTAATGCAGGTAGAGATTTCTAAATCCAAGCCGGGAGAAAAGATAGCGTCCAGAAACAGAATAAGAAGAGACCCATTGTTTCTCAGGTAGACCAAAAAGACAATTTCAACTTCTAAGCTACTGAGAGGTTGTTGACCTTTGAGACCAATCATAACAGAGATATAACTAAAGAGTCACACACAGAGAGCTAGTGGTGATATCCCAGAATGTTAAATGCCAGTGGAAGGAAGGTGCTGTAGAAAGGACATCATTGGAGCATACATTGGATGCTTTGCAAGACAAAATGTGTGGAGCAGGACTGGGACTAAGGTGAGCTGAGCCAGGTACTCGTATTAGCACAGAATCTTTTAGTAGAGCTGAGTGAGCAAGACAAAAATACTTTAATAATATCCTCAAAACATAATGCCAGATGATCCTGAGTTTAGAGACTGTGTGAGCATTACAGTTACTCTTGTCTCAGACTCAGCTCTATTTCAGAGGAACATTCTGGAAAGGCAGTGTATTTAATACACATCTTTCCCCAGCTCTAAATAGCCCGCCTGAGCCTTTGCCTTTTTATATACCAAGGCTGACCTCCTGTTCTGATCACAGGACTTCAGGCACAGTGTTCAGACACAACCAATCGATGGAAGGAGGGAACTTTAGCTCCTATGGCCAGTAGCCTTCAAGTAAGAGTTCTTAGTGGGCAAAGTGAGTCATCAAAAGAATTGTTTGTGAAGAAAAACGTCCCAAAGTTACAAGCAGGCTCTTTAGAAGACAAAGTGCAGCATAGACAAGACCTCTTTTCCATGGCACTTCTTTTGAGTAATTTCCTTTGGGTGAGAAAGTCAAGCTTGTAGAAGGGCTTTTCTCATTCCCTAGTAGAAGTTACATCTGTTGCTGGCACAGACATTGATTGAGCTGGGTCAATAGAGATCTCTGATGTTATTACCCCCTGTCTTTGAACTGGCACAGGTTTTTTTGTTTGTTTGTTTGTTTTTTGCATGTGTGTCTCCAAGACCTGAGACTGAAAGCCCAGCTAGCCAGTCAGTCATACGTCATTGGGAATCCTGTAGCACTAGAACGGAACCTACTAACCACAGCAAGGTTGACAGGTTAGGAACAGTGCTCACAGCATAGGTTTTAGTGGTGTGTCTGTCATTTGAGCCCAGTAATGCTTTGTTGTGGAGGCCTGTCCTGAGCAGCATCATTTTCTCTCCAAACTGTCAGTTCTTCTGACTCTAGGGGCTCCTACAGCCATTGTGTGGGCATTTTGACAGATCCTTGCCCATACTTTCACATCAGGATGAAATCTCTCCAAGACCTACTCAAGTCAGGACTCAGCCAGTTCTCTTCCCTTCTACCTTTCCCTTAGCAGTGAACCCTCTCAAAGCTCAGACTGCCACCCTGCTTGAGACAAACTCTAGTTCTCCTGTCCTATTAGTCAGATCATCGAGCCCTGAGCACATCCTCTCATTCCAAGCTCTTGTCCAAGCCATTACTGTGACACCTTACAGTGTCCCTCAGATAACTGGAATACAGGGGTTTCCAAACATGCTCTAGTTTGACTTAAGTCTTTACTGACCTGATTTTTCCTGAAGTCTTTTTTTTTTTTTTCTCCTCGAAATCCAACAAACAAGTGAATGAGAAAGTCAAATTGTTGACTTTCAGAGGAAAACAAGAATGGGGAAGTTACTAATTTGCACTGATTTAAATACACTTGGAGCTGAAGTTACAACATTTCATTATGAAACTTTTCATCTTACACTAATATAAACACTGCTATTGAAGTGTCTTGTAAGAAAAATTAAAAGTAACTTTACAACTCAAACCATGTCTTTTAGAAGTGAAAAATCTGTAGATCATTCTATTTACAACTCTAGGTAGATATTTAGTAGATGAAAAGCAGTCAGTATCTCTAGAACGGTGCACATTATTTGCTTACTCGCTTTAGCAAAAATCAAGATTTATTGCCTTTCAAGATAAATTTTGACTAAATATTGACTTTAGGTTCTCAATCATTATTTACCTGAAAGACCAATAAATCTTGACACTTCTTATGGGTCAAAATCGACTTAGTATTTATTAATTGATTTCACACAATTCATAATTTAAAACAATTTTAATTAGATTTAAAAGATTCTGTATGGTAGTATTTATTCTGAGTGTGTTTGTGCAGTTCTTGATGCCTGTTGTGGTCAGAAGAGGCCTCAGTGCCCTAGAACTAGAGTTATGAGTGGTTGTGAGTCATCGTCATGGGTTCCGGGATCAAGGCCAAGCCCCCTGTAAGAGCAACAAGTGCTCTTCACTGCTGAACCATCGTTCCAACCGGCATTTGTCGTCTTAATAACAACATTCCTCAAGATTGGTGAAATACTGTAGCATTTAGTGAGCTTATATTTTCAGTCAGCAGATATCCCCTTCATTTCTTAGTTAAATATACCACCTTTAGTACTATTAATATAACCAGCATATTGCACATCAAAGCTGTCTTAGATTTTAAAATACTCAGAATCAATAACTCCCACACACAACTAGAAAACCCAAACCAAACAAAAGCCTCAACAGTTTATAGTACATTGAAATTTTAATCCTATTCAGATTAGAAAAAAAAAAAAAATCCAGGGTGGGCTTTCTTTGGTTGCCTTGAATTCTGCAAGTAGAACAAATAATACACAATGCTGGTTGGTAGGCAGCCTCTGTCTTGACAGTTGCTATGTGCTGGTTCCAGTCTCCTCATCTGTCACTGTTCTGTCTCTGGATACAATGGGCACTGAACTCTCATTGCATCAAGGCACAGTGCTAGTCCTTCACGGGGACATTTGCCACATTGCTGTGTTGAAAGGAAAGTTCTTTGGTTCAGTATACCCATTTTCCCCAGGGGAGTTAACTCACTTCTGGTATATTCTTAAGGACGTAGCTGTGCTAGCAACAGCTGCAGTCAATTCTGCAAGTGCCAACTCAGGTTAACCTAAATGCTTCAACTATGGTAAGGAGAGTTTCCTTCCTAGCCTAATTTATGACTTTGAACATGTGTCAGCCCTCAGATTGCATAGCAGAACTTTATGAACCAAGTTCTGGTAGTGACATTTTCACATGTATAATCTCTCAGCACTGTAAAATTTGTAGATGAACATAATATGAAACTCACCAGGAAAAAAAAAATGATTTTGTATGATAGGTTTGGAAGCAACCAGTATGTTCCAGGATTATGTTTAAGCAGGCAGAGCTTGTTCCTTCCAGGTACAAAGGTCTTTTTCTTTCTTTCTTCCTTTCTTTCTTTCTTTCTTTCTTTCTTTCCTTTTTAAAATGTTTTTCAATTACTACTGACAATTTCATACAAGGTATCTTGTTCATAGCCACCCATATTCTCCTTTTTCTCCCTCCCTGGACTCTGTCCCAACATAGCCCCCTCCTACCTTTATCTTCTCTCTCTTCCCTCCCTCCCTCCATCTCTCCCTCCCTTCCTTTCTTCCTTTTGTAACTCATTAATGCTGTGTGTACATGGGCACAGGGCCATACATTAGAGCCAGACCCATGAAGAAGATTGACTCTCTTTTCCCCAAGCAACCATCAGCTGCTGAGCACGTGTCAGCAATGGTTGGGGCTTTGTAAGCTCCTCCCTGACCCATAGGGGAACGCTGACTGGCTTGATACTGTGCAGGTCTTATTTATATAAGCCCAGCTCATGGGTGTTTTGAGTGCGATGACCATATCATGTCCAGAAGACAGCACCTCACAGCTCAACCCCATCCCCCAGCTCTTGTCCATTTTCCATGATGTTTCCTGAGTTTTGAGGGTGAGGAGTTTGATATAGATGTTCCATTGAGAACTGAACACTCAGTAGCACTTACCCTTAGCTTTTTGACCAGCTTATGAGTCATTACAGTAACTGTCGTCCCTTGCAAAAAGGAGTTTCTCTGACCAAGGTTGAGAGCAACACTAGTCTGTGAGTAGAAACATAAAAATTTAGAAGGCAGATTGACAACATGAGCAATTAGCAGAAACAACAACAGTAAGTTTCCCTGTGGGGTCTATGACCTCCCTAACCATGGATTTTGAGGCAGGTATTCAGTGCCAGGCATGAATTTCCTCCTGTGGTATGGTTTGAAATCCAATCAGAAAGTGGGTAGTTACTGCTGCTCTAACAGTCATGCCACTAGGGCACCAGTGGGTGCATCTTGCCGTACAGATCAGTATTATAGCATGTAGCATCCAGCACTGGGTAAGACCATTGATGTTCCCCAACCTGCCCCGCCCTAATAGCTTGAAGAGTACCTGTGACACTGTAAAAGCTAGCCAGAAGGAAGCAATTTCCTAGTCTGCTCCAGATTGATTTTTCTGTGGCTAGCAACTAAAGTGTGTGATATCTTTAGCTATAGGATCTTACCATCTAGTTAGTTATAGTGAGCAACCAAGGGCATTGGCAATAGCCTATGTAGTTTTGGAGGTATCTGTGGCTTTTGGTTAATAACCTGAAATGAGATATCCATGCCTGGCACTGAGATTTTCATTTAATAGCCCTATGAAGTTTTTATTCCCTGGGAAAAGAATTCACTATCAAAGTATTTAAAACCTTAGGAAGAATGTAATTTTGAGTTTCTGTAGCCTAAAATGGGTATGTAATTTCAACCACATCTCTGCCTGCCTATACCATTTCTTCATATTAGCCCACCCCTTTTAAAGACCGGGTTTTAAAGACCCACATTTACTTTGAAGTCATGATCCTCTTGATTCAGCCACTAGAGTGTTGGGATTATAGACACCATGTTGTCTGAGCTAGACTTTATTTATTTATTTATTTATTTATTTATTTATTTATTTCTGTTTTTACAGAGCAATTGAAAATTTGTTCCCTCAAACTCTTTGTCTCACACCTCCCCTCCTGTGTTTAGAAGATAGGATCTCTAAAAGATAGCTTAGGTTAACCCTGAACTCTTGATCATCTTGCCTCTGCCTCCCACGGTTCTGGGATCACAATGGATATCACCACCATCCTGCTTTTTCTCTTCTCCTTTTTCTAAAAGCACTTTCTTCTCTTCTTCCACTGTTTTGTTTTATTTATTTATTTATTTTCTTTAGAGCATCTCTTACTGCCAAATACAAAGCAAACTACTGGTTGACCTCATGGGAGTTTGTGAAGGCTCATGTGATAGGATAAAAAGCAGCTTGGAGTAGCTAGTACTTCCACAGTGAGATGGACTCACCTAGGGATAGACCCAGCTTCAGCTCTTGCCCTTCCCCGTTGGGCCTCTGGGTTCCCTAGTATGGGGTAGGCAGCAGAAGTTGACAGCTATTAAGCAAGAAGAAGGCTGTTGGCCCCTGCTCAAGACCACAGCCTCAATACCACTACACTGCAGTCGGCCAAGCTAACTAGGTACATTGGTGAGAAGAAAGCTTGTGCTTTGTGGAGAATTGTGCCCGAATGTCTGTCCCAAGCCTTCGAGTCTTTTGGATTCCTAGTGAAAGGCCGCTTGGGAAACGCACTGTGTGCGGCAAACAGGGTTCTGGTTAAATGGTGACATTTGTTTCCAAAAGTGTATCAGGGGGAAGCTAAGCTCTTCAGAGCATGTGTTCATTAAGGATGTGAAGTGGGGTGGGAAGCATTAAAAAAAAAAAAAAGGCCAGTGAGTTCTCTTGTGAGATAGTTTTTTGTTCTTATGAATTGGACACTCTGAAAAGTTTCACAAAGAACCTAGGAGAATGCATTTACTTTGATCTAACATGTAGAGTGTCCCCTTCTACAAATGCCCTTGAATTTAGAAATGTTGTTGAAAATCTGTTTGAAAGTACATAAAAATATATGTAAATAAGCCCTAATTAGTTATTTCAATTAATTATTGTCTGTCTACTTTGCAACTCTATTTTCCCCCATAATGTTGCTTTTCAGAGCCCACTTTTGGCACTCTTGAAAAAAAGTTTCTTAACAGTCATTTTTAAGAAAGCACACTTTCCCCTGTTGAAAACCTCACAATGATAAATTAAAATCCCAGATTGTGCCTCTTCAAGGAAAATTGCTTCAGACACTTTCAATCCCTGACCTGCAGTATGATAGTAAAGGAAATCGGGCTGTCAATCAACAGAGCAGGGCTTCCTTCTTGAGACAGATGATATGTGCTGTTTGGAAGACA